TTTCCCGAGAAGTGAGCCAGCGTGACTTTCTGCCTTCTTCTGCTGGATGTCCTCATAGATGTTGTCATATTCGTACACCGTGGAGTCCTCTGCCAGTGCCCTCTGGATCTCAAGCTTGGTCTTTAAAAGGAGACAAAAGTGGGGAAAGAAAAAATACAGGTGCTGGCTTTGGCAGAAAAGTCCTCCGGAAAGGCAGTTTGGCAATGCATCATCCGTTATACCAGCCAAGGTTTGGATAGGAGCTTTTTATGAAAAAAAATGTAATGAGTTAAGGCAGCCTTGCAAATCATTATCTGGGAAGACCTATCCGCCTCATGCCACCACCAGTGTTCCCTCTAAGCGGAGTCAGAGTGAGCTAGCTCACAGTTTTTTATTTATTTATTTACATGTCATTTCTATACCGCCCATGACCCCTAATGGGTCTCAGAGCGGTTTACATTAGACTACATCTGTAGTCGAATCCTAACTAGGGCCACACTTTGTGCAGGGAGGGGTTACCTAGCAGCACCCGGACGGCGGCTTTCTCTCCTTCTTGGCAGCTCAGGCGCAGTCTCGGCGCTCCGGGCAATCGGCGACCATCGGTGGGCTTCTTGGTGGATCCTCCGTCGGCGCGCACTGCTCTGGACTGCGGCTTTTCCGGCTACTCGTCCCGTCGGGCTCATCCGATGTAGTCGTCGCCTCCACGGCTCGCCGGACACCGCCATTGTTCTTCCTCGCCGCCGCTTCTCTTGCTGCCGCCTCTCTCTCACATCTCCCGTCACCGTCGCTATCAACCCTCCTGGCACGGAACCAGGAGGAGGGTGCCCCCTGCCTCTAAGGCAGGTACCCATTTCTCTACTTGTAGTTACTTTCGAGCCGCTGGGTTGGCGGGAGCTGGGACTGAGGGCCGGTAGCTCACTCCGGCCGCGGTGGGGATTTGAACAGCCATTGTGGCTGTTTGCTATGATGTTACTGGCAGGCATCGAACTGCCTGCGCCACCACTCCCTCTTTTAGCCTCCAGCTCACAGATTTCTGTCTTAGCTCAGGAAGGAGGGCTCCAGAGAAAACTAATTTCTGCAGCAGCCAAATCACTCGCTCACAACTTTAATGCCAGTAGCTCAGAAAGTAGGATTTTTGCTCACAAGACTCCGCAGCTTAGGGGGAGCACTGGCCACCACCTTGCTGATCCCAGTTACTGGAGCTGTCTCTCCACTCCTCTGCACTAACCTGGCCCTTTCAAGTCAAACCAACGGCCTACATAGTGCCATACTGTGCTTCTCCGCCCGGAAATGCTGTGCTATCTGACTTCTGGCTAGAAAACCAAAGAAAGCTTATCCAGTGATTGGCTTTGTCTCCTCAGCCAAAGCAGTGCTGTAACATTTGCATGGGATCACTGACACACACACAAAATCAAGGTCTGTAGCATTCCCTCCCCCAAGCAAGAATCTCTTGTGTGACTCTTGAGTTGACTTCATTATCTTGCCCCAAATGCCTTGTCAGGGGAGAGGGGAGAGAATTAGGTGCGCATTCCTCTCTCAACAGGAGGCACAGGGAGCCGGTGGCTCCAGTCCATTGAATGAGCTCTCACCACCAGTTGTAACCTGCATGCCACCTTCTATGTCTGTAACCCAAAGGCCAATATTCTGTCTAGCACAATTTACCTTTGCTCCATATCTATGTTCCTCTATGATGATCTACCCTACGGAGGTGCAAGGCTAGAAACTGGAGTGATTTTCACTCCACTGACACACTACGAGTTTTGTAACGCCGCACTTCCGTTCTAAAACACCAGTTGTGTTAATGAAGTTCGTCCAGTCATTGGAGACCTGCACTGGAAGTAAGAGGAAGAACAGACTCTTCTGGTGGTTTTTGAAGGTGTGACTGCAAAAGTCATCTCCCATGTTTTATGGCGTGTTGAAAACTATGAGCAGATCGATGGCAACCTGCTACGCATCTTGCAAAAGGTTGTTTTTCTGTATCTCCCTGGATATTGTCTAGAGAAGCCCAAGAAAAACAGACTCGTAACAGCAGGATTATCACTACATAAATAAAGTAATGGAAACCGAAAAAACCAGCCTTTGATGTAAGTTGCATCATTTTTTTTTTATTAAGCAAGACAAGCAACTTCCAAGCCTTACAGCCAAGGAGGCAGAACTGACGCATAAAATCTATGACCCTGGGCACTATTTAATATTGCATTAATTTAGTTAGTTATAAGCTTATTAATTTATACAACGTATGGACAGCATATTAAAGGATATAAAGTATTATGGCGAAATCCTTCCCCAAAAGCCTATTAACCCTTGCAAGGCCACATAAACTGCTGGATGGGTCTTGTTAGAAAATCAGTACTTTTAATGGGCACCAACTGTAACTTTTTTTGCAACTGACAGTGAGTGTGATGTAGTAGCTGGACTGGAGTATCAGATTACGACCTAGGAGATTCTGCATTCTGCTATGGAAGCTTGCTGGGTGACCTTGGGCTAGTCACACAGCATTACCTATCTCACAGGGCTGTTGTGGGACAAAACGGAGGAGAGCAGAGAAATATAAGCTGCTTTGGGTCCCCACTGGGGAGAAAGGCAAGGTATAAATGAAACAAACAAAAATAAACAAAAAGTATACTAAAAAAATCACTATTCTGAAAGTATTTATTTATATTAAAAGCTTTAACTTTTCTGCTAAAGAAGCCCCTTCAAGACAGTTAGCAAAACAGTATAAGCAATTAAAACAACGTATGAAAGAATTGAAAGCAACTGAAAAGTGTGTGCACGCACCCACACCCAGAGACGTTGCCAACTTACTTGTTTCATCGCTTGCTTTTTCAAGGCTTCTCTTTGAAGACTCTCCCCCACTGATGTCTGTTGGAAAACAAAATTTAACATGTAATGTTACATATAGGAATGCACCCTTGTTTTCACACCAGCCAGGGGAGCTTAAAACTAAATGAGCCAGTAAGAGTTTATTTTCAAAACAGCAACAAGGCAAAAAAGTAGGAAAATGATCACTGGGGGTGTGGTGTGTGTACTGTCTGTCACAGCGGCAGTGGAGAAATGAAGTAATTTTATCAACAAACACCAGCATGAATTCCAATACAAGGGTTAGCTAACTAGTTAAAGGAATGAAACCAACATCATGCCCTTTGTCTATAAGACTCTACGAGGTATGCTACAGGGTGCAATCCTAAGCATGGTGGTGGTGGAAAGTTCTGTCAAGTCACAACTGACTTACAGCAACCCTGTAGAGTTTTCAAGACAAGAGATATTCAGAGGTGGCTTGCCCTTGCCTGCCTCTGCCTAGCGACCCTGGTATTCCCTGGAGGCCTCCCATCCAAGTACTAACCAGGGCTGACCCTGCTTAGCTTCTGCCCTTTTGAGCCTGAGGGCACCTTTGGGATTCTGACACAGGGTGGTGGGCGCAACCACAAAATGGCCACCGTGGGAGGCAGAGCCAACCGTAATCACAGAGGAAGCTGAAGTGCAGGTAACGAGAGGAGTGAATATTAGAAACGCACTGGGAAAGAGGAATCAGAGACAGACTAAAACCTGCACTGTAGAGGCAGCTGTCTGCACAGCCAAGCAGAGATCCATCAGTGGCTATTAGCCACAAGGTATAGATAGGAACTCTCGGTCTGGGGCAAGTGATGCTCTGTATTCTTGGTGCTTGGGGGGGCAACAGTGGGGGGCTTCTGGTGTCCTGGCCCCACTGCTGGACCTCCTGATGGCACCTGGTATTTTTGGTCACTGTGTGACACAGGGTGTTGGACTGGATGGGCCTTTGGCCTGATCCAACATTGGCGTCTCTTACGTTCTTATCACCAATGGACAATCAGGAACCCTATTGGGCAAGAGCCCAGCTGGCCCCACCCACTTTCTAGAAATACTCGGCGGGTGCCAGGAAAAGTGTTGGCGGGCACCATGGTGCCCCTGAGGACCACGCTGGGGGCTCCTGTCCTAGGTATTAGGTTCCACTTGATTCAGACAAAACACGCTGAGGGCAACACATTCCGTTAAATCGCTAACCTGGTACCAAGGGACCTTTGCAAACCAATGGAGGATAATGTTAGCCATGTGCTTACCCACGATGGCTGCCACCTTCCTCCATTGCCCAAGATTGCCATCTTGATCGTATCATCTGGAGCCCTGCTGTAGGATCCCCCTGTCCCTGGGGGACTGACCAAGCTTACAGCCAAATCATCTTTGGAATGGGCTGTGCGCTCCCTCTAAGCTGGGTGTGCGAACAGCTGCTCATTAACACAGGAAGCCTCACTCAGCAGCAACCTGGAGCTACACAGAATCTTGCACTGCCCATTGCCCATTTTAAGATTACAGCAGTTCAAGATGTGAACTGCTATCATCAGTGGCGGGGAAATTAGAGGGAACATTGGCTGTAATTTGTGTTGGGGGGGACTGAAACAGGTTGTTTTGAGATTTGTTGGCGTTTTTCATCCTGGAGGGGCACAGTGGCACCTTTTTACATTTTAAGATACTGTAAGACCGTCTGTGCTGCCTCATGCTCCTCGGCCCCCTGGAGACTCTCTGGTTGAGATCTCAAGCAGCACAACGGAACGCCACCCAAGAGCACCTCAGGATGCTCTTTATGGGTTTTATGGGGTGGGCGCTGGCAATGACCAGAGCTGCTCAGAGCCTATAAGCAGCCATTTGCGATGCAGCTGTTGTCAAAGCAAGGTTTCTGCTGTAACTGCTCAAGACAGTACAAACTTTTGCTGCTGACCACTACTTGGATCCCTTGCTGACCCAGATAATCCAAATCTACATCCTCTTCCTGAGGCCTGTAGTCTCTACGGCTCTTGTCAATCCTTAAAGTCCTGGCATTTCTCTCTGAGCATCTATACACTGGGCAAGCCACATCTGGCCCTGGGAGATCAGCCATAAAGTGAGGATGGACACCTGATCTGCTCCTGAATTGGGGGAGCTAGGAACTCCAGGTGAAGGCTGGGCCCTTCCCATGGGGCTGCCCCATTCGCCTCCTCTACGGAGAAGGAGGTGAGCCGCTATCCCTGCTGTGGCCGGGTTCAAGCAGCCCTTTCAGTCAGCCTGAGACAAACTCGCAATGAGCAGTTCACCCAGAGACTGTGGAAAACACAGTATGGCACATACTTGAGCCAGTTCTCTGGCAAGGCGGGATACACATTGAAAATAATAAATAAATAAATAAATAAATAATAAGTAACACTTTCAAAGCATGACATGCGGCTAAAAAGAGAGTGTACCAGGAAACAAAGCACGAAGGATTTTACAATGGAAGCGTCTCTGCGGTCTTACTATTAAGTGCGGACCGCGGAGTCCTTCCTTCCAAGTCAAGTCAAACACGCTGGATCTCTCCCTCACCCTTACCCAACTGCAGAGGGGCCAAGCGGATCCCTGTGCCTGCTGAACTGACGCGACTACAAAGAGCGCTGCTCCCAAGTGTTTACAGAAGGTAAGGAAATACCCCCTTCTCCTGTTTTAAGTAAGACAACATGAAAAATGTCTGTTTTCACATTTTGGCAGCGCTTGGAACTTTCCAGCCTTGCCATGACTCATACCAAACACCAGGCTCTCATCTGAGTGAGAAAGCTTGTGTCACCAGCCCTTCATAATGCCCCAAAAAACTACATGGAAAAACTAGTGCCAGGTGATTTTTTTTTCTTTTCGCATTGGTGTCCAAAGGAGTGCTGGAGAAAGCTGATCTTCCCCGCTCCCGGACACTGGCCTGCTGACTGTCAGTGTGACATTTGAGTGATGACTGTGATGTCCCTAAATCCAGGAGAACGTGCCTGAAAGCGCTGCACTGGGGTACCACCGAAGGGAAGACAAGTCCTTGGCCCCAACAGCCAGTCTCTGAATACCAGATGATGGGAAGAAGCAAGGGTGGGCTTCAGGGTGGGGACATTCTGTCTGGGTGCTGCTGGAACAAATGAAAAACAGAAAAGAACTGTGACAATTTAGCGCTTAGTAATATATTCATAAATCATAATTTTTGTTGTTCAGTCGCACAGTCGAGTCCGACTCTTCGCGACCCCATGGTTCATCTCCCGCCAGGCCCTCCTGTCTTCCGCCGTCCTCTGAAGCTGGCTCAATTTCATGTTCGTTGCATCGATGACACTGTCTAACCATCTCATCCTTTGCCGTCCCCGTCTTAAAAATGTATATGTGACTAAATCCATCATTGTATATTCATTAGTATCCTGTTGGCTGGAATCAACAGTATGACAACACAATCCTAAAAAGGGTTTCACTCTTCTAAAGTCTACTGAAGTCAGTGACTTTAGCAGGATGTAACTCTATTAGGACTGAACAGCAACAGTGGGATTTTCCTGGACTTCAGTGGGTTTATCCAGGACTACCTCTGCATGTACTTTTACAGTAATTTTTTACATAGTGGCAGAAACATAGCTTTTGAGGTCTGTCAGTAGTTCTCTGCCTAAAGTTCACATTCTTTTAATAATATATTCTTAGAAAAAACTCATACTGTCCCCAAGCCTGGAATAAATTCTCATGAAGTTCACCAGATTTAGGATCTTTGTCCCTCCCAATCAGTTCTGAAGACTGATTTTTCCACACAAATCTGTTGTTTTCATTATGTCTGTTTGATTGTACTGGAACAGCCTAGTTACTCATC